GCTCCATTATAATATTATGGGACAATGGTCACATACGCAGTCCATCATTGACTGAAGCATTGTTATGCAGCACATGAGTATACTATATTGTTATAACGTTAGAATTATTATAACAATTAAATAGGTTAATATATGTAAATGCTCAATAAATAATTGTTGAGTGAATAAAACATTCCTGTAACATTTTAAGTTCTCAATAAAGGCTAGGCATTATTATTTGTATTTATTGTAGTATAGGTAGAAACAACAGAAAATCCTAACTTAAGCTTGCTTATCAATAGGAAATTTATTACCTCAGGTAATTTCAAGTCCAGCAGCAGTGTAGACTCTAGGTACAGTAAATCAAAGGCTCAATGATATCATCCAGATGCTTTAACCCTCTTCACTGCTATCTTTATGTTGGCTTCACCGCAAAGTGATTCCCTGGCCATTGCAAGATAACTGTTCATGTCAGTCAGGACCCTGTGGTTCCTTGTTCATATGCAATGAAGAGAAGAGAATATTTTCCCCCAAGCGTAAGAAATAAGCCTTCCCTTCCCTTGACCTTTCTCTTGGCTCCCTATGTATTAATAGTAAGCAGCCCAAAGTGGCTCTGTCCAACTTAAGAAGAAAGATATTTTTTAGAGGATATTGACTAGTTCACAGAAATTCCAGAACACTTGGGGACAATGCAGCCAGAAACAAAACTTAAAACCAAACCACAAAACTAGTCTTGTGAGGATGCAGCTACCACTAAATATTAGACCTTTTACCTCAGACAACAACATGGCAGACATGAGAAACAGTTCATCTGATTAGCAATGCCTAGGGCATGTATATATACGTTAGTTTCAAGGGAGGCTGAGAAACCAACCATGGGGCAATTTAGCATTTTATAGTGGGAAATGGGCTCTGACTTTTTACCAAGTTTTATAGGACAGGAATTCTCTAGAGTTGTTACAGGAATTTCTGCTAACTCAGCCACCCTCATGGTAAGGTGCACCCTGAAGAAAAAAGACTATGGACAAAACTGAAAGGGCTGACTCACCAAACTCTGTAACATTCCAGGATTCAAGTAAAAGTGAAAGAAGCTTCTCCATTTCAATTGGCAGAGGACTGCTGCACTGTGGGTCTCTGGTTCACTGGAGGCAGGTAGTATCACTGGAAGATCTCCAGCTTGCATCCATGGTGTCAGAGTTTAACTCAAGAGACTGCATGATTAATCTCTGTTAGGGCAAAGGCTAGTGTACAGCTGTCAAAGCAAGCAGTGACTCAGCCAGCAGCTAAGGCAGTGACAGCAGCTCATCCAGCAATAGAGACAGGGAGCAACAACCAGAACAGATTCCCTGAGGTACTGAATATACCCCTTGGGGACACCAAGAATACTTAGAAAAGAGAAAAATGTACGAGAGACTAGAATTCCTTAACGAGGAAGTTAGAGTTTGAAATGAGCAGGAATTGAATACTAATGTTAAAAACCCAATGTTTCAGAGACATATGGATCACATGGATGATCAGAGAAACATCTGGCATCTTATTTCCAGGAATTGGAGCTTTTAGAAGGAAAAGGGAGCATTTGTGTTAACTAGTTTCCTTTTTTCTCCTGTGGAACATGTGAGGCAGCTTTCCTGGAATGCTCAGCCACCAGATTTTTGCAAGGTTGTTTTCTTCTAAATATTAAAATCTCAGCCATCAAGACATATTCTCAGACACACTTTACTTGGTGCTCCAATCTACAATCACTTAACTTCCCTCAGTTCCAGCCATTCTTATCATATTACTCTATTCTCTATTGTATTGTCTTCAAAGAATATAAATCTAGCTAAATTCTTAAAACTTATTTCTATTGTTTATTAACCATCCCTACATAAACATTCACCATGAGAAGAGTGACCTGACGTATCTTGTTACTGGTAAATTCCTGCAGGTTTAGAACAATAACTGGCACATATGGTAGGTGCTCAACAAATATTTGTTGAGTGAGTATTAACATCTGGCTCCTCACAGAGCTGAGGCCATTTGATACATCATATAAAAATTCAAATTTTATGTCTACAAGTTTTTATTTCAATTCCAATAACATTGTTTCTTATTATTAAACAACTTCCATATAATAGTCTTTATACCTCTCTGCCTGGAAGACTCCTTTACCCAATTACATCCCTTATCTCCTCTCCAGAAACATACCTCACCTGGTTACTCCTTCCCAATCTATCCAGTTGATCCAGTCTTTCAACATGGAAAATGAAACCAATGAGACATCAGAACTAATACCAGAGAGTCAATCAGAATAATAGAAAAGCTAGAGACAGAACAGGCACAGGATAACATGTTTATCAAGACAAATATTTTCACGAGCCAAAGCTAGGATGCATAAACTATGCTAGAACTAGCTAATGGGCAAAGTGAAAGAAGAAAGAGTGAAATTGTTTGAGCTAGATACTATGTGTATTAAATGGCATGAAGAACTCAGTTCCTGGAACTGAGTCCAAAGACTCGGTTTTCAATCAACATCTTGCCAACAATGGCTCTTTGAAGGTTGAGGCTCCACCTACTGCAGCGATGGAGAGAGAGTTTATGGTGGAGAGGGAATCTGAGCATGAGTTTTGGAGATAGAACTGGGCTTGAGTCTCAACTGTGCCACAGAAGATAACATCTCAGAATAACTCCCTCATAAAAAAAAAAAAAACAAGCTAATCAACCTCTCAGCAAATCAATTTGTGAAATATCAACTATAATGATAGCACTATCTCATGGGATTATTGTAAGGATTAAATAAATTAATGCAATGTGTTAACTAACTTTATTCTGGTAATCATTTCACAATCTACACAAATATCAAATCATGTTGTACATCTTAAATTTATACAATTTTGTCAGTTGTATCTCAATAAAGCTGGAAAAAATAAATAAATAAAAAGCAGTAGAAAAAATTCACAGAGAGATATGGGTCAAAAAATGAATTAATTAATGGACATAAAGTCAACAACATAGTTCTCTGCTCAATTAATTGCTATTATTCAACAAATATCAATATACATTATTATTAATATTGTTTACATCTTTTTAAAGTAGCTCAGTTGCTTAGTTCACTCAGGAGATGATGATAACAGCTATTGCTCCTTTCACCACTGTACTAAGCACTTAATAAGAATGATAATTTTTATTTTTCATAATAACTGCATGAAGAAGAACTATTATTGCCACATACTGAAAATAAAAAGAGCCAGGTTAACCCAAACAAAAGACTCAGAGGTTACCCAGATGTTTAAGTCCTCCCTGAAGAGGTATCACAAGCTCCCTTAGATAGGAATCATGGTGTTGACCACAGATTGGAGATTTGCTGCCCTTCCAAGTCTCTGTTTTCTACCCAGAAACTTTTCTGTTTTGTTTTGTTTTGTTTTGTTTTGAAAGGGTCTCTAACAAACTGGGATGTTGAAACTCCTGGCACTGGGAACTCAGAGCAGACTAAATTCTCCACATACACCCCAGGAGTTAAGTAAATCTCAAACTAACTTAAGACTTAAATGTACAATAATGTCTGATTCATTAGTCTGCTTAGTTTCAGAAGTTTTGCTTAATTGGACTTAATTCCAACTGAGGGAAGTGGGAAGATATAATATTACTGATGAGATTTGATTTGAAGTAGACTTGAAGGATAAGCAGTACCTTATCTCTCTCTTTCCATCTGTACCCTAACACACTCCCTTCATTCCAATCAGGTTGGTCTCCTAACTGTCCCACAATATCCCATACTCGGCTATGTCCTCTCTCAAGTCTTTCACTTTGCTTGGTGTTCCCTGCCTTACTCCTTTACTTATTCAATTTTTACTGACCCTTGAAGGGCCCATGCAGTACCTTCCTCGTATGTAAAATCCTTGAAGCTATCTCAGGTATCAAATGCTAATTGAGAACACACCAGAGGCTAGACATATTAGAAAGTTGAAAGACACATAGGACACAACAGAGTGAAGTGCTCAGGAAATGGTGTCTTATTGTGTGTAGTGAGAAATTTGCTAGTTTGAGAGACAAGGATTAATTGGCTCTGTGACTTCAAAAAGATCATCAAGCCTCTGTTTTCCTCAGGATTCTTAGCTATAAAATGGACGCTTTTCCTCATGATCATTATGCTTCCTTTCAGTTCTAAGATTATGACTCTAATTTTGAAGAATAATTTGATCTCTTTGTTATGTTTCTGGTAGGATTTCCATACATGCTTTCCTTATGCTATGTGAAGAGTGGAAAATCAGTAATCAGTGGTTGCAGTATTGAAGAACGTCATCTCTGTGCCATTATAAATATCATATAATTCCTACCCTGGGTTTAGAAAATTGCACAGGTCACAGCTTCATTGAAATAAAGTCAGCTGTCATGTTGCCCTGTTAATACTTTGGTCATCTCCCATTACTCTAAGAATAGATCATTTGTGGTTCTTTCTCTGGACTCACAATTTCATGGCAGTGAGAAAACAGAGAGCAGGAGGAGTACTGAATATTAAGATTAAGTAAAACTCCTATGGAAAACACTATACATGAATTAGGGAATCTATGAAACTAAACCAAGCAGTCCCCAGGTTATGGACAGCCTAACTAACAGCATTCCATACTTACAAATTGGGCTTCCAAGGCTTCCCATGAGGGTAATTTATAATTAAATAATTAACTTAATAATTCAGAAACTAGTTTCTTCGATACATGTAAACAAATCCACAACACGTAAGCGGTTCACTGGTGTAGCATCTTTACATTATCGACTAGTGTCATAATAAGAGAAGCAGCTAATAGAAACACAACATGAAAAATAAGAAGATCCAGAACCAAGAAAGTTTATAACAAAAGTATTAGCTGAAGCCTTTCATGCCATTGAAGCAAGATTTGCTAAGTTTGAGGAGCAAGATCCTAACATTGAGCAGTTTGCAAAAGTTTACCATGCACTTAGGGAGAACATCAGCTGCCACAAGGCCATTTATGATGAAGAAAAAGACTGCAAACAACCCTCAATACCTTTTTCAAGAAACATACCTTAGTGGTAAGCTCCCCTCCTCCTGGAACAGAATCAAATCCTGATTCTCCAGCACCTACTCCATCCTTTCCAGCATCATCTCCATCATCAACTTCTGATCAATATTAGCCTGGCTTCTTGCCTCAAAAATGCCCCTCGAGTAAGCAAGATATTGATGCAAAATTAGGTGTGTTAACCTTTAATATTCTTTTTTGAAATTTCTCCTATCTTCTATCTAAACTTTGTATATGAGTTTCTTTTTGTGTTCTGTTTGTTTGAATTAAAAGAAATAGCACAATAGTTTCTGCAACTTATTATTACAGTATAGGGGTATTATTATTACAATAGTACACTGTATTATTGTTACCACATATGAGCCACTATAGTATTATTATTATTATCATTATTATTACTGTACATGCACTGTTCATCAGGGATCTGAGTCACATACAAATTCAACCCAAAGTTGTTCTCAGGAACGTATCTTGTCTGTAACCGGAGGACTGTCTATAATTAATGAGGGAGTTATTTTTATATTACTTTAGGTATAAATTATTGAGAAGTTGCTTTTTATGTTAGAAACAGACAACAGATTATGAAATATCATACTTTGTTTTAAGATCTTAAATTATGAATTGTTGACAGCTATTTGCAAAACCTAAGAAGGCATTTTATCAGCATCTACTATTCATTTTCAGTTCACCTATTCCGATTTGCTGCATTAGTTGTATTTTTTGGTTTTAAGTAAAAGAACCAACTCTGGATAGATTTATTCAGAAATCTATCTATTGAAAGAACACTAGGTTATCTCATGGTGTCCAAGGAAAATTCTAACAGGAGAAGAGACCAGATCAATTCCAGGACCTTAGCAGTGGAACTTCATGGACTTTAGTTTCCTTTACTTTTACTCTAGTTCCTATGACTTCCAACCTGTGTCTTTACCCTCATCCCAAATTTTAATTCCTAGTAAAGAGCATCTGTTGGACACAACTTGAGTCATATGTCCTCCTTGGGCACAGCACAATCAACTATGACAAAAAAGCCTTTGTTAAAAGAGTGATCTATTACAAACATAGTCACTGGGGGTTTGGCCTTGTAGAAGAGACCAATTTTCAAGAAGGGGTAAATGTTTGGATCTAGGAAACCACCTCAAGAAATGTGCTTTGCACATTTGCACATGCTTTCTTCTACTGTAGTTTTTACCTTCTTCTCCCCCTCCTGTGTTATCAATATCTATTTATCATTGTATAAAGTTATATCATGCCCTGCTAGGAGTATAGGAATGGAAAGTTTAATTTTCCTTTGCTTCCTAGATATTGGACTATCAGGTATTCCTCATGACAGGTCTCTTTTGCTATCACCTGCTGCCCTATCCACAAATGAGGGGCATATTCCAAAACTCCTTTTCATCTTTCCTTTTCTTTCTTACTCCAATTTACTTGTAGAATTCAAGGATACAATTGCCATCTCAAGGCCAAGACTGCCAAGTCTATCCTGAAACTATTTATGTTTTAGTCCACTGTTTCTGTATGATTCTTTTTTTTGTTGTTGTTTCATTCACACTGAAAGAACATCTCTCAAACCAAAACCATTATTATGCCACAAACCAGATTATCCTCCTACATTCATTCTGAGATTATCACTATCAGTTTTTCCCAGTCTTGGGACTGCTCCAAAGCCTTAGAAATCATGGAATGATTTTTAAATTAAATTGTACAATTCTAATAATGAGCAGGCCTGCAGACTGATCTGAATCTTGGAATTTGACTATCAAAGAACAGCTTTCCTGATAACTTTATCGGACTTCAGATGCGCAGGTCTAACAAGCCCAATAATCATTTGGGATAAATGCTTCCCAGGTGGTAAAAAAAACACTAAAGAATTTCAGGTGTTTTCTACCAATGTAAAGTTCTGAATTATGTAGGACGGATCTGCTACAGTGTAGTGATCTATCTTCCTACTCTTCGAATCGATTGTCATCCTTTAAAGCACTGCTAATTCTGGAAAACAATCTATAACCAATTAGAATCAGCCCAAACTACAAGTCCCATGACGAAAAGCAGGAGCCCAGAACAATGTCGACCGTAGTTCCTCCTGGGAATCGTAGTCTTCTTATTACCTGTCAGGTAAGCTAGGTGTCGTAGCTTCCGTTTCGCAAAAGTTCTCTTGGAAAAATAAAGCTAGTGCAGGTAATGTCGGTTTCCAGCCATAGGACTAAATTTAAACTCTCTACCAGATTGCTGGGGCGGGACAACTCCAGTCCGCGCCTCCGGGACCCGGCGCCCTCGACGTGACGTCACTTCCGGGAGGGGCGTCCCAGGCTCGCCCCTCCTTCCTCCTCGCGGGGAGCCTGGGCCCGACGGCCCGGCAGAGGCGGGGAGTAGCTGCTTTAGAGGCGGAGGGTCATGTGGAAGCGTCTCGGTGCTGTGGGAGGAGGCGAAAAGCTGCAGTTAAGGAGAGTCACCGTCACCGGGAAGCGCGCTCGAACGGGATCGCAGAGTGGGCTGAGGTAGGGACAGGGTGGCGGGCGCCGTCCCGGGCTCTCGCGCGGGTGACACCTGCACCCACCGTGGCTGGCAGGCGGCTAGAGGCTCCGGGGGAGGGTAGAGGAGCGCCTCAGGAGTCTCTCCCACCTCTGGCCAGAGGCAGGCCGCCACCGACCCCGCCGTGTGTCTGAGAGTCTCTGGCCGCTCACCTGGCGGTGTAGGCGGTAGGATCTCTGGGCCCCTGGGAGCCCCGGGAGCGGTAGGTCTCACCGCCCAAAGTGCCAGGGACCCTTGGCCCGCGCTGAACCTTACCTTCCTAGAGTCGAGCTGCGACTGGGACTTTCCTCTTGCCACCCCCTTCTCTCGCCCCCCGGGTTGCTTAGAGTCGGGCCACCTCACCTGCTCGAGGTTTTCCAAGGTGAGACTGAGATGATTGCCCTGGGAGCATCTCCACGCAAGGGCAACTGTGAGGACGCCCCTAATGAGCACAACACATTTTTCTTAATAATTAAAGCTTGAGTAGCGTTCACTGCTTTGGACGTCAGTGATTATTATACTGATATGCGACCTCCCCACAGCCCAGAGGCTTCAGGTAGTGGAGTGGCAAAGGGCAGGTAGATCACACAGGCCTTGAGAAGGTTGAGGTTTCAGACTTATTTACTTCTTTTTTGGGAGGCCATCAGGCGGAACCGAGCAGCGGTGAATCAGCAGCTCAAGTTTCTTGAATCTTTGATAATGGGGAGGTTGCCCAGAGCCACGTGCTGAGTTAAAAATCTTTTTTCAGCATCTTTCCAAGTCCAGATGACTGGTTTCTTACCTTTCTCACTAGTAGAGTGTCGTGGATGAAGTTGAGCAGGCAGACCTGTTATTGTTATATGTAGTCTTGTCATTTTGTTGGTCTGTAGTTACTACAGTTTCTTATGTTTAGACCATTTTCTCTTTGTATGATTATGATATTCTTCTGATACAAGATATACTTGTATCCTTTGTATACTTGTGTCCTTTGGTAACAGATTATTGAGTATGAGTTGTAAAGATTTGTTAAGCACCATCAGTCTATTGCAACGCAGAATTAATGATGAGCTGAAACCTGAAGAACAGTTAAACTTTTATTCATCTAATTTTGTTGGATATAAGTTTAATGTTCATTGAGTTTTATTGGATTTACGTGATCAAGTTTATTTTAAAAATACTTTTAATCCTGTAATCCTGGGTTCTATAAAATGTAGCTTTAGGGGCAGTTGATATTTCCTATATCACATCTAAGCTTCTAGTTTACTGTTATTACTCTGTGTAAGCCTTGAGAGTTTCACTAATTAAATCAAATCAAAGGTAATGAAAATAATTTTCCTCCCTTTCTTTTCTCCCTTTCCTCCTTCCTCCTGTACTATATGTAGTACTTCAGGATGATAAGCATGGAATAAAGCTTAAGGAGAGTCTTCACCACTCTCTCCTACTAACTCTTTTATGTAGATAAAAACAGTTAAAACCAACTTTACAGAAATCCTTCACAAGGAAATAAAGTAGTGGAGGAGACAAATAACATGTAACATGAGGGTCAAGAAAAAGTGTGGAATAATTTTGCTGTCTTTACCTTGCCAGTGAAAGTCCTTAGAGATAATTGGGATTAAAGGAAAGGATTTGAAGTGTGTTTACATTCCAAATAAAATAATAGGAGTGTCATAAAATTAAAAAGAACATTTTATTTTCTTTTAGATCCTGCTCCAGATTAAAGACTAATCTTTAATATGTCCTTCTCATTTTTAGATAGTGAATTCCTAAGAAGAAAATAATGGATTGCATATTAGTTGTTCTCTAAATATTTGGACTCAACCGTGTTTAGGTTTGTTGCAAAGACCAAAAGAAGATGGCAACTCCTTATGTCCCAGTTCCTATGCCCATAGGAAACTCTGCTTCCAGTTTTACAACCAACAGAAATCAAAGAAGTTCTTCTTTTGGCAGTATCTCAACAAGCTCAAACTCTTCCAAAGGCCAGTTAGAAGACTCGAGTATGGGTAATTGTAAACAAACAAGTGTTCCTAATCAAATGGATAGTACTTCATCTGTCTGTAGCAGCCCCCTCATTAGGACTAAACTTACAGGTACAGATTCTTCCATTGAGTATTCTACTAGACCAAGAGAAACTGAGGAACAAAATCCTGAAACAGTGAATTGTGAAGATAGACCATCTACACCTACTATACTGGGTTATGAGGTGATGGAAGAAAGAGCTAAATTTACTGTAAGTATGGACTTCTGCTAATTAATAGTAGAAAGTGAAAGATTGGCTAACCTCTGTGTTTAAACTAGTGTTAAATTGATTAATGTAAGCCTGCACTTATAATTTCTTAAACATAAAATTCTAATGGTTTTTATACCACTAAATTCTGTCACGTTGTAATAAACTTTTGTCTTTACCTTAATGAATTTTCACAAACCAGACATACCTATGTAACTGAAACTAGCACATAGATCAAGAAACAGAATATTACTAATATCCTGAAGCACCCTATGCTCTCTGCCAGTCTCCCAACACTTTTCTCATAAACTAGATTAATTTTGTCTATTTTAGTACTTTATATAAAGTACTAATTATGGAGTATATACTTTTTGGGGTTTGACTTCTTTAGCATTATGTTTGTAAGATTCAATCTTAATCTTGCATAAATTGTAGGTAGCTCATTTTTATTACCAATAATATTCATTAATGTGAATATACAACAATTTATCCATTCTTCTGTTAAAGATCATTTGGATAATTTCCATTTAGGGGTTCTTACAAATACTACTGGTTTCAATGATTTAGTACTTGCCACTTGGTAGACACATGGATACATTTCTGTTTGGTTTCTGCCTAATAGTGAAATTGCTAGATCATATGTCTGTCTTTAGAAGATATTGATGACCAGTGTTCCAGAGTGGTTGTATCAATTTACATTCCTATAAGCAGTGTATGAGAGTTCTATCTGGTCCTTACCTTCCCAATGTGGTATTTTAATATCTTTTTCATTTTAGCTATTCTAGTGGGTATAGAGTAATAGTTCACTGTGGGTTTCATTTTAATTTTCTTAAAGGCAAATTAAAATAAAGAATTTTTTTTATTTTTTGGTCATTTGGATATAATCTCGTGAAATGTTTGTTCAAGGTTTTTGTCCATTTTTCTTTTGAAAAGTCATCTCCATTTGGATTTCTAGTTTTCTGTGCATTCTGGACCTGAGTCCTTTTCCAGCTAATATGTTTTGTGACTATCCTCTCACTGTGTCATTTGCATTTTCAATTCCTTAATAATATACTTGATACACAAAAGTTCTTAATATAGTCCAGTTTCTTTTTTCTTTTGTGGCTTTGCACTTTTTGAAATCTTTGCCTACTCCAAGGTTACAAAGATACTGTCCTATGTTTTCTTCTAAAAGCTTTATTGTTGGGCCTTTCAGATTTTGATTTTTTAAACTATCTGGAATTGATTTTTGACCATGGTGTGGCTCAAGCCATTGGGGGCGGGGCAATTAATCAGGTTTTTACTTAAAAGACCACTCTTTCTCCTTTGTATTTGCAGTGTTGCCTATATCATAAATCCTGTGACCATAAATGTATGGGTATGCTTCTGTGTTTTATTTTTCCATCCTTTACTAATTTTACACTGTCCTAATTAGAAAAGTTTTTGTAATAGGTCTTGATACCTAGTAGTTTGAGTACTCTAATTTTGGTAGTGTTCTTCAGTATTGCCTTGGGTATTCTTGGCCATTTTCATTGTTAAATCTGTAGATTAATCTAGGGAGAACTGAAATCTTTGTAATACTCAGTCTTCAAATCTATGAACCTAGTCGATTGACTTAATTCTTTAATTTCATCTAACAATGTTTTGGTGTTTTCAGTGCAGAGATCTTACATCTTTTGGTTAGATTTATTTCTGGATATGGATATTGTTTGATATTTTTATAAGAGATATGTTTTTGTTTTGTTTTCTAATTGTTCATTGCTAATTTATATACTTTAACCTTGTAGATTTATTTATTATGTATGTTGACCTATATAGTTTTATATATTGAGTGACCTGGCTGAGTCACTTATTATTTCCAAGAGCTTGTTGTTTTAGATTTTCTTACAGTAAAGTTTTTATGTTTACTTCAATGTTTCATACTGTACATTTATGACAGAATGGGAGGACCGCCAAGAAAAACCTGTTGAGATAATTTATGAAGAGACATTCTTTAAAATTAAGTTATCATAAGACTGGTAATATGGGAAATCTGTATGGAATTGTCTTTTTTTGAGAGCAGTTTTAGAAATTATAATAAACTGAAGGAATGAGCATTTGTTGAGGCGATGCTGTGGTCTGAATGTGTGTTCTCTTAAAATTCATATGTTGAAGCCCTAACCTACAAGGTGATGGTATTAAGAGGTAGGGCTTTGGGAAATGATTAGGTCATAGGGGCAAAGCCCTCATGGATAGGATTAATGCTCTTATAAAAGAAGCTCCAGAGAGCTCCTTTGCCCCTTCCACATGTGAGGACACAAATATGAGGTGTCATCTGTAAACCAGAGAGCTGGCCCTCACCAGACACCAAATCTGCTGATGTCTTGATCTTGGACTTCTCAGTCTCTAGAAGTGTGAGAAATAAATTTCTGCTACCCAGTTTATGATATTTTGTTACAGCAGCCGTAACAGACTAAGACAGGTGATATATGCAAAAATGCAAGTATGTAGCCAAATTTAAGACACTGTATAAAAATATAAAGTCTTTCAAGACACTATAAATGATGTGAAATTTGTCTTATTCACTTATTCATTAACTCAACATTTTTTGATT